AATTGTCGCTTGGTAAGTGCGAGCCAGTAGCCCAGTCGGTAGAGTTCCGTTCTTCGATCGTCAATCTAGGGGTTGGAGGTTCGAGCCCCAGCTTGTCACCAACGACAGTCTTTTTTTCATTTTCATCAGGGCAGAGGGGGTGGGGTTGACGGGGTGTGACGACGACACGTGACTTTGGCGTCACATCCTTTGCAACCGGAGGTTATATATATTATAAATTGTCGCTTGGTAAGTGCGAGCCAGTAGCCCAGTCGGTAGAGTTCCGTTCTTCGATCGTCAATCTAGGGGATGGAGGTTCGAGCCCCAGCTTGACACCAACGACAATTTTTTTTTTCATTTCCATCATTGCGGAGGGGGTGGGTGTGACGACGACACGTGACTTTGGCGTCACCATCCTTTGCAACCGGAGATTTATATATATTATAAATTGCCTGCTTGGTAAGTGCGAGCGCGTAGCCCAGTCGGTAGAGTTCCGTTCTTCGATCGTCAATCTAGGGTTCGAGCCCCAGCTCGTCACCAACGACAGTTTTTTTAAATTTTCATCAGAGCGGAGGGGGTGGGGTTGACGGGGTGTGACGACGACACGTGACTTTTGCGTCACCATTCTTGCAACGGAAGGTATATTTATTATTAATTCCCTGCTTGGTAAGTGCGAGCCAGTAGCCCATTCGGTAGAGTTCCGTTCTTCGATCGTCAATCTAGGGGTTGGAGGTTCGAGCCCCAGCTTGACATCACCATCCTTTGCCATTCGTGTATGGTCACGAATGATAATTTTTTTTTTTTCATTTTCATCAGAGCGGAGGGTTGGGGTGCAGGGGGGGGGGGGGTGACGACGACACGTGACTTTTGACGTCACCCTCCTTTGCAACCGGAGGTTTATATATATTTGAATTCCCGGCTTTGTAAGCTTGTCAGCAACGACATTTGTAGGTTTTTCCCTATTCATCTGAGCGGAGGGGGTGGGGATGACGTCATGACCCCTATCGGAGGTTGATATATATTTTAATTTCCCGTCCCGCTCTTCGATCGTCAATCTTGGTCCTGTAAGCTGTATTATCTAAATCACGGCAGAATTTGGCGTAAAAAACAAAACTGCTTGCTACATGCACTGCCTTTGTTTTGTGTACGCTGTATTTTTTCTGTGGGGTCAGTATTCAAATTAATGTAAATTGAACCACACACCTCACGGCACTTGAATTTATAATATAAAGGTGGGGCTCATGCAGTGACCTTACTCATTAAATCACGGACCATGGACTTGTACATGTAAAAAAAGAAAAGAAGATAAAGGTAGAGGGGACGAACCTGTGTTCACAGGAACGGAGTGACATCTCTCTTTCATTAGCGATTGGGTCAGACTCATATGCTGCAGTGGGGGGGGGGGGGGGGGGGGGATCGCCACACCACCTCCACAGCGAGTCTGTTACCTTCCCAGCATTGAATAATGCCTGTACCCATTTAACACCTGGGTTGAGAGGAGTAATTGAGGTAAAGCGCCTTACTCAAGGGGCACAACACGCATGGCCACGGCGGGCTTGAACCCACGACCTCACGATCATGAATCCTGTGTTGTACCGCTAGACCACACGTGCTCACGAACTTGTATTTGTACATGTATTTACATTAATATCCGACAATATCCAGGAAAGCAAATTCAAAGATTATACTGACTGGCCATTTATTCAAACGAACATGTATTTGCATATGTATTTGCATTAATATCCGACAGTATCCAGGAAAGCAAATTCAAAAGATTATACTGATTTGCCATTTATTCAAACGAGCAAGGCTCGATTATATACGGACACCAATGAAGGTCGGATCTGAGTTGGTTTTGTACAGCAAAAAGTATACTGAGTGTTTTATAGCTTTTGTATAAATTTAAATCAAATAGTCTGAGTGTCGCCGTCGTTCAAGACCGTACGCATTCAGGTTGACAGCCGGCTTAATGGTGGGTTTAATGGGCTACAACTTCGGGTCTCTATTTTGAAAATAAATATGTATCACGTCGGATCAGTGGTTTTTTTTTTCCACGCTGGAACTGCAGTCCGTGACCGGATGGATATGAAAATCTTTATGGAATTGTAATTGAGTACTGAACAAAAGGGATGCAAATGCAGTGTGCGATAGATGCCGGTATACTTTTTGGCGGTTTTCCACTACTGGAATTTTAGCAACATCGTTTCCCTGGCTTTATCCGTAATTTCTCGATATGGCCTCACCTGCCACTGCTCCCGTTCGTTACGAACACACTGATAGGAAGGGCTGGTTGGTGGTATTTGCATCATTTATCTGCTCTTTTGTCATCTGCGGCAACCTCAAGGCCCTGGGTGTTCTTCTCATTCCCATGACGAGCGACTTGGACAGTGAACTCTGGCTTGTAGGCTGGCTTGTGGTCTGGTACAACGTGTCAAAAGATTGTACAGGTCGGTATTTGAAGTAGGCCTATATGTTTCTTTTTGGAAAGTTTTCCGTTGGAAGCGCAAGGTTTTGTCCTAACATCGCATAGAAATGAAGGAAATTCCTCATTTGACAGGCGCAATGATTTCACAGGATGCTTGATAGTACCAAGCAGAGTTGTAATGACTCGAGTCAATGACTCGACTCGAGTCCGACTCGAGTCACAATTTTTGGTGACTCAACGCGACTCGAGTCCCTATAAGGGCAAATGACTCGACTCGACTCGAGTCTCTGCAAGCAAATGACTCGACTCGACTCGAGGCCCTCATCAGAATGACTCGACTCGACTCGAGGAAGGCTTATAAGACTCGAGTCCCAAAAAATGAAAGCAAAACTTTGCGAAAAAAATATTTGTAATGACTTACGCCGGTGCCGGTTTTTGTTCATGTTACGTTAGAATGTTCGCGAATAATGTTGTACATACGTGGTTTGATCAGTGTCCCCATTAGTTGAATGGCGATCAGCTGGCACCCCCTTTTTATTTGCATTAATATCCAAATGTTTTGTCACCACATGTAGTATAGCCCGAATGTAAATTTAAAAAACCCAAAAAAGTGACTTCTCTCTTGTGTTTATGAATAGTGTTCAAATATTTGTGACTCGAACTGACTCGAGCTAAATACTTGACTCGACTCGACTCGACTACACACCGTGACTCGACTCGACTCGACTCGACTCGACTCGACCTTCTTGTCCTAATGACTCGACTCGACTCGAGTCACTTCTTTAAAATGAATCGACTCGACTCGAGTCACAAAAATCAGTGACTCGTTACAACTCTGGTACCAAGTAGGATATTTCATTATAATTTTGACCGTTTCATTTTGGAATGTTTGCAAAAGGTGTCCATAACCTGTAACTTTTATTAATGGACAGTTATAAATTACACCAAAAATTCCAAGTTCAGCAACTTCAGCATTCTACAAACGAGCTGGAGTTAACTGTTTTATTCAAACACGAATATTCTGACAGTCGAGTCCAAAATTAATCCTCAAAGTATAATGGCAAGGTGAGTTTGCGGAAACGTAATGTGGCATTAATCTCTTTTGTGAGTTTTGACGGTTCCGTGAAGAACCGTTTTGGATTCATACTTGCTTATTCTAATTAATTAAAAGGCAATTGCCTGTGCAAACCCCACTCTCAGTATTCTGTAACTCTTGGCTTTCATCGTCTCTGTTTTAGACTGTTGGAGTTGATGACCTTTTTATTGTGTGTTCCACCAGGGCCTATTATTGGAGCTCTTTCCCGCATGTTTAGTACCCGGCTTATGATAGTGTGTGGCGGTCTTTTCAGCACCCTCGGCTTCATCTTGACGTCAGTGTCACCCAACGTTGCAGTCATGAGCATTTTCATTGTCGGATTATCAGGTAATAATAGTGCTCCTATTTGGCGATGCAATCTACAATCACGGGGCCGCTTCACGAACCTGGGCTTGGTCTCACGAACTCTGGCTTGGTCCCGAACCGAAATTGACGGAATTGCTGCATGCTGCAGTACAGTGTATCAAAACGGAATACGGAGACGTGAATAAAATTTAAAGCCGAACCAGACCTGAAACCGAGACTTAGTAAATGGCCTCGATAATTATTCCTGGTACATGGACCATGGTTTATACCCAGTGGTCATTTTTAAAACATCGGCTTCGTCTCCTGATGTGGCTGTCATCTGCGTGTGATGAGTCTTCAAAATAATTCTGGAACCAGGGATGAAGCTGATTAGAAAAAGACGAAAGTTTTACATGGTCCAACAATAGCGAAAGGACTATGGTCCACCCTGCCCCACCTCCCCCAAACTGACACGGCGCTGCTTGATGGCGCTCTGTTTCTAGCATATTTTCTGGAGAGCGGTGGTTAAGTAACTGGAGAACGAAACAATTCTTAATCCCATGTCTTTCAAAATTATTTTTCGCAGGTTTGGGATCCGCATTTATTTTTTTCAACATCTATGTCGTGGTAGCTTCCTACTTCACGGAGAAATATCCGCTAGCGATTGGAATAGCGATGATGGGGATGCCTCTTGGTCTCATGGCATACGGACCGATGACCCAAGTTCTTCTAGACACCTATGGTTGGCGAGGAACGGTACTGTTGTTGGGAGGTATTTCCTTTCATCTTGTGCCGTGTGGAATGTTGGGGCAACGGCAGTCATCACGTCGTGAACAGTACCAAGAGATTTCGAATACGGATGAGGCAGACAGCAGTGACAGAAATGATACCTCGGGAGACAGACAGGGCTTAGTTTCAAAACTGGGCAGAGGTGGGGAGTGGGCGAGGCGTTTTAAGGATGCAGTCGATGTCGCGGTGTTGGCCGATGCGAGGTTCATTCTGCTGACGTGTGGGCGGTGCACGATCAGTTTCGCTTACAGCAGCCTTATGGCATACATGGTGTCGCACGGCCAGTTCCAAGGGCTGAGCAAATTGCAGGCGTCGATTCTGCCAACGGCGTTGGGCATCGGCATCGTGGCGGGCAGGATGGTTGCGCCCTGTCTGCAGCAACTCGGCACCAAGCCTCCCGCGGTGCTTTGGGCGTGCATCGGGTCGGCACTCATGGGCGCGCTCTTCGTGGAGGCCTTCATCAGACCTTTCGTGGGACAGCTTGCCGTGATGGTCGTGATTGGGATAGGTGTTGGTATGGCGAGTCAAGCGACTGACGTCATGGTGTGGTCCATCTCCAGCTTCCCGAGGGATGGCCGGTTGGTTAGTCGGATGGGCTGGCTCGGCGTTTTCAAAAGCATCGCGGGGCTTGTTGGCGGTTTAATATCAGGTCGGTGCATTTTTTTTCCATTTGAAATTGTTGTACATATGTTTCTCCAAGTATTCCGACAACATTACGACGTTATTATAAAAATAGATGTTCATGCGCGATACTTGCAACAGTTGGCATGATGTTTCCGGGTTGCTTTGCTAAAATGCATGTCGTATATTAAATTGTACAAAGTGTGATGTGCATCACCCAAAGAGAGAGAGAGAAAAAAAAGTACATAGGGTGATTTGCTTTCTGTGCAACAAAAGTATTCTATACTTGTAATTGAAGTAGATTGAAAAATAAACTAAGAAGTTGAGGTTTCACACCGGTGAATACTTTGATGCACAATTTTATTCAGCGGTTTTGTAATTGGACTCCGTTGATGGCGCCTCCGATTCATAAGTTTGTCGTTTCACGTTTAATTTGCACCCTCTTGTGAAAAGTCCCTATGTCAGCACTACGAACACGATTCTCACTCCGAGTGCCGGTTATTGCGTGTATTGTCGGCGGTCCTATAGTAGATGCATAAGGCCGAAAAAAAAGTATCCGGTTTCTGGTATGGAGCTTGCCCAAAAAGTGGTGCGGCGACGCGGCTTTTTTTTTTTTTTACCTGATTTTGTTTGCTTCAAATGTCGGCTGATGACTGCAAATGGTGCCCGACTAAACTTAGTGCAAATATATGGGAGTCCAGAGAGGCCACATTAAGCTTATTCTCGATCATAACCCAATCTAAAAACACGTTATTGTGCAACAGCAGGATTCCAGTCAAACCAGTGAGTTTGGCGGTTTTGAGACATCATCTTTCATTGAAAAAAAAAAAAATTTCATTTTGCCGACGCGCATGGCTACGGCAACGCGCGCGCATACCAGAAACCGGAGATTTTTTTTGGGCCTAATCCTTATTAATCAATTATAAGATGGAATTTCACCATTCCCCCCCCCTCCTCCCCCGCCCCTGAACAAAATGGTTTGCCTTTTCAAGGAACAACAATACAATAAATCCGAAGCAGTTTTCAAAAAACAGACCCGAAATTCAACTCAGCATAGGCCTAGATATACTTTATGTGAAAACTGTGAAAATGCTGGACTGGTCTTCATTTTCTCGACGCAAAGCATTACCTGTTTCCGTTGAAAGCGCCACGGTTTGCCCTTAAACAAAATTTCTCGAAAATGACAGCATTCTATAGGCGCAAAAAATTCACGGGATATTTGATCCTATTATTTTCTTACAGTCAAGTAGAGGATTATCTCAGGATATTTTGACAGTTTCCTTTTTTGGATGTTAGCAAATGATGTCCAGAATGGTAACGAATCCTCTAAATTTCTATATTAAAGAAAGAAAAAACCAAAGTGCGCCCGCAGGAAAACCGCTGATTGTTTTCATATCTGAACGGTACAATAATGCGGAATAATTTATCAGGGTATGGTACCGGACCTTTTTACTATACCACTTTGAGCAATTGGCTTTAAATAATAATACAGGATCAGTCTATAGCACACGTATCTATACCAACAATTAGGTACTCAAGGGGCTGGATATTATGTCTGTTATTAAAGACAGGTAATTGAAGTTTATGAGAAATATGATACCCATTATGTATCACCTTATAAGGGTTTACAAGGTGCTGCGGCGTATATTGAAGCCACTGCCAGAAACACCGGGGCAAACCCCTTCTCTGGCTCTTATAGCGATAAGTGTTCCTGGGTTCTTGGTGTGCATTACACAACACACGGGACCTACGGCTTTACGTCCCATCCGAAGGACGAAGCAATGATGGTAAAGTGCCTTGCTCAAGAGCACAAGCACCATGTTCCCACGGTCAGGATTCCAACCAATGTACCACGGCACATGAGTCGAACACCGTAACCATCGGATCACACCACCCCATTTTCTCAATAAATCGGGAGTTTGATTTTCAGGTACCAATGTTCATTTATTGCCAACGTTTTGCACCCCGACGCGAAACATCGGTTGACATCAACGACTTAGATGGGCCTATAATTTAACCCTTTACATTTAATTGTTGTGATATTTTCAAAGGATGGATATACGAGTGGACCGGGAGTTTCATCATAGCCTACTGCGTGTGTGGTGGAATCACGCTGTTATCGATCCCTTTCTTTGTCGTGTGGTGGCGTATGCTATACACTAAGCGGACGGAGGACCAGTGAGGTACCTAGCGACGGATTGAAACAACTGAACTAAGCTGCGCCTACGTAGAAACTACATCCACTTTGCACCATTTCTAAATCAGCTTTGAAATCGGCAAATTTTGCCGCATCTGCACAGCGAGCACTTCTTTAGAATCCAGCTCTGTACATGACCCCCCAAAAATGCAAACCTAAAACACTTGCCGTTAAAGGGAATGTACATCATTGGCTTTTGCTGTAATTTTCAGAAATGAACAATTTGAGGGGTTAGTATAACAGATCAAATATTGTTTAACTGACATGTTTGAAGTTTTGTGTTCGAAAATGCTTGAAAAAAAAAACCCAAGAAAAACAAAATTGTTTAAGTAGTCTGGTTCCCTGACTCCACTAAAGATAAAATGGATCAATATATAGATGTCGGAAAATTGTAAGGTAAGGGAACCAGTCTAGCTGGCCTGCACCCGTTCATGAACATGTTACCAATAGCAAACAAAATTTGGACTGAAAAATATTGTAAATTTGGAGCAGTCGTTGAAAAATACTTAGAATTTTCCAACGGTGGTCGGCCGACCACCGTTGGAAATGTAAATATAAATACCATTTTCTTGAAAATGACTTTACACCAGGTGCCATAATTTTACAGGATGCTTTAAACTGTCATTTACCAACATCCTAGTAAGATATTTCGTAAAAACTTGGTAGTTTTATTTTTCGATGTTTGCAAATGTATATTGTAAGGGATCGGTGGATTTTTATGTTTTGGGTCTCAGGTTAAAGCTGAGTGCTTTCTCTTTCAAATAATGAAAAAAATCATGGAAATAGCAATTTGGGTAGCCTAAAAATGCAAATTATGTAAAAGTAGTCATATTTCATCCTGTATAGGCTACACAGTGAAACATTTTACTGTATATCTATTATATTGGGCAATTATTGTTCAATTTCTTTGTCATGTTTGTTTCACTGTATTATACAAGATATATAACGATGATACACAACCCTGCTTGTCTCTTTTAAGACAAACGTTTTAAGTTTGCATTTTTTGGGTCACCCTGTATATTGCGCAGAATAATTTGGTAGGCTAGAACCTGTACGTGTTCGCTCGTCCCTGTCGCACTATCCAAGGGCACCAGTTACCTTGCATTTCTTTCCCTCTCATTCAGCCTCGACTCCATGGGCGCGTGCGCGTTCCTCGCGCAAGGCATGATGGGAAACAACATGGCGCAGCAAGATCTGGTACCCATGGGAACGAGGTTGCCTCTCATTGGATACAGTTTGTATCACCCAATGACCTAGAGGTAGCAACCTCTTCCCTATGGCTTACTTTATTTTCAACTTCGTGTCCAATGGTACCCCTGGATTTGAAACGTGCTTCCTGTGTCCTGATTCGATACCGCAATAGCATGTAATCGATTTATATCTTGTAATACAGTGAAATCTCGATGAAACTCTGATAACTCAAAACAACTATGTCAAACAAAGAATCCATTCCCTTTACCTGTAACTCACAACTCTATTTCAGTCAAATTTTGAACCCGTTCCCTTGAGGTTTGACTCGTCGAGATTTCACTGTACTCAGCGATTTTATTTCCATGGTATGTTGCGTGTTTAACGTTTATTTTGAACTGTAACGTCCACTTTTCCTCACTTACACCTCACTTTTCCATTTTGTTTGTAATAATAATGTAGCGTAAATGTGTACTATTGGATTCGTAGAGATTTTAACATAATAACTTTGAAAAATTGTGTTTTCGGATCTCACGCCACGCTGACGAATTGAACCCGTCTGTATGGACCAAACACCGCCTACAAAACCAAAGCATAGACATGCGCCAGAGTGTTCCGCACCTAATTTGCACGTGCAAGATTTTTGAACATGCATTTGATCCAATACCAGGGTGGGAGAGCAGGTAGTGGAAACGTACTGCTCGACACCATGGGACCGAGGTTGTGGAGTTAGCATGTGTGTGGGCGCATGTGGCTGGTGTGTAAAGATTGCCAGGGCGGATCCAGAGCCAAGTTTTCGGGGGGGGGGAGGGCGCAAGAGGGCTGGAGTACTTTTTTTAACAAGGGAAAGGAGATTAGTATCATGCCTATGCGATAATTCCACATTGTAAATAATATTAAAACTAAAAGCTTTGTTTAGCTGATGGCTTGCGAGAGAGATACGCAATATTTTATTTTACAAGTTTCCTGAAGATTTAAGACAAAAAGGTGTCTTCACTTCTCCGATAAAAAAAACATCGTGGGGGTGGCCCCTGTTGCTCCCCACCCCCCTGGATTCACCAACGAAGATTGCTGTTACATGTTCATGTATATTAAGATGACAATAATTAAAACAGTTCCCTACTTTTGGGGAAAAATGAAGTTCGCCATTTGTTATATTTTCTATAGCGTTTTATTAATGTTTGTTTGTTTGTTTGTTTGTTTGTTTTGTTGTTGTTTTTGTTCTGCTGATGTGGTTGTGTTTTTTTTTAAGTTGTCAGTGGCACACGTGCCGAGAGGGACATGATAATAGTTTCACGGAAAAGGATAAAGTGTGTATAGATAAACAACACGGCAAAGTTGAAAGTGTTGAATACCTCTGGATAACAGTTACTGAATGGTCAATGCAGGACCCCTCATGTTTCTGTAGCCTACATCACATAAGAACGTTAATTGAGAACATAAAAACCGTTTGTTGGGCAGTGCTGATGGTGTAGGCATAATTATTAGGTTGAACATTGAGGATGACACTTTAGCTACGCATGTTAAGTCTATATGTAGACATACTGGACGTTATCTTCCAACAAAACTAGCTGACATGTACAGCACTTCCCATGAACTCGTGAGGAAGGTTGCAAATTATAACGGTACTTGGGGCGGGCCGTCACCGCGTTATGGGTAGGGAAGGTTTTTATTGTTATGGGCAAATTACTGAGGACCGAGTTCAAGGGGACTTTCTGCAGACTCCACAGCGTCTTCGCGGTCCCCATAGTACCATGGGACTAGTCCCACAACTACGGAACAAGTATATATGTTTTTGTGTAGGTTTATAATTGGCTTTTCCGCTTAGTTGTGGAAAAGTCTTTGTTTTTGTTCTTTTGTGAAGTTTAAGACACTTTTCCCGGGTATGATGAACACAATCTACTTGTCAGTTGTTTGTTGTGCCTCATTGAGGACAAGCAGCCAAGTTGTATCAACAGACTACAAGTTTTTTGGGTAGGGAAATCTGGGGTTCAGGACAAAAAATACAAGATTGCCCATACCCCGCTATAGGCAATGCACCTAGTGGCAGGATAGGGGTTAGGTTTGTTTTGGCCAAGCCAACTCGGTAGTCTATGTAGAGACCCTGGCCCTGGCGGGCCGGGGAACGGGTGATTCTCAGACTAGCCAAAACATAGCGCGCGTAATAAAATCGCATTTTCCACATTGACAAACTTTTTCAAATTACAAAAGCAGGTGTCAGTATGATTCAGAGAAGACAAACCATTTTTAAAGGTCATGCATGATTCTTTCGAATCGAGTGGTTGATGAGTCTTCGCTCGTACACCCCGCCGCAGGGCGGGGGTACGAGCGAACTGATGAGTCCCGCTGTCAGGGCCGTCGCTAGAGGGGGTACCGCACGATCGGCTTTTAACTGGTACTTTGCGATTATATGACACAAACGTAATACAGCTGACGTGAACCAGTTACGCACCCTCTTTTATTCACCACCCGAAAACATGGTATGACTTGTGAGCAGGAGTTGATATTTTAGCTGATTAATTTCTCACTTTAAATGTAGATTCTCCCCCTTGGAAACCCAATAAGTTCTTATTCAATGATTTATCATTGTGTTTGATGAAGTTGTTTCTTTTAGTGTACGATAGAATCCACATTTTTTGCAACTAATTTTAAACGGTCATGACAGTTAAAATCGCGAACTCGCTTCGCCATTCACGTGGAGCACGGCCAGCGAATTGGAATATATTTCCGACACTTGGTTGAGGGCGCCATAACTTATGCCATAGGGGAGGGCCTAATTAGTGTTCCACTAACCCACTACTTAACTTTAAGGCACCTTTCCATTACCTTTCTAGGAAATAATTTCATATAGGGCCTACGTACACCATTTGATACCCTGTGTACAAACCTAGTCCCATTAATGTGACGTTAATACTGGACTACCTCCTTATTAAACGTCACAGATCCAGATATGGTATTTGGACGGAGGGTCTGTTGCTAAGGGAGCCGAAAATCCATTCGAAATCACAATTATTTTGTCACTTTATACTCGCCCAATGCCGTCTACAACTGTTTAATATCAACAAAACGTTAAATTCTGCACCTTCAGAGGTCTAGTTATCTTGTAATTTCGAGTTGAATTCGGATGACTTTTACAGCATTTCACTGATAATATCGATCAAGCGCATGTGTGACGTCACTATTGAAGAAAAACAAGTCGCGCCTAATCAAAGACTGTTTCATGTAGTCATATGAGCCATGCGCCGTCTGACAGTATGGGTTTTTGGCGCAGGGTACATGTCAGTAGGCGAAACAGTCCTTGATTATTAAGCGCGAAGTGGCATCTGGATGCTACATTCTTTCACATAAATCTCGAACCAGCTGAAATTGTGTAATTGCCAATGAGCATTAGACTAGCTGGACCAATGTTATCAATATTGGAAGCATTTTGCATGACCTGATTGCATGTACTTTGTTGACATTTGTCCCATACAGACGGCCAAGCGACGAAACAACGGACGCAACAAGAAGGGTCGCGGGCACGTACGCCCTGTGCGCTGCACCAACTGCGCCCGCTGTGTGCCCAAGGACAAGGCCATCAAGAAGTTTGTCATCAGGAACATTGTGGAGGCTGCGGCTGTCCGTGATATCCAGGATGCCAGCGTTTATGAGGGTATGACACCTTTCCACATGCGTGTGCTTTCAGTTGGTTTTCTTTTCAGTCCGTGGATAGACTGATGCCTCAAGAGTAACCCACAACGCATGTGCACTTTTCCAGTGCCACACTACATGTTTTAGTAATGCATATCTATCGTGTTCAGCTACACACATTACAGTGAAAGTGCACACACATCAAACTGTTTTCAACCATTAACGGTAGCTGTGATAAAGTCAAAACATCATGGGATGGGTCTGAAATAGATTAGTCTACTGCACATCGAAGCCTATAGCCCATATCATGTAGTCCCTCATTGTTAGAATAAATGTAGTACTGTTGGACAAGAACCATGCACATAGCATTCATAATGCAACAATATGAGGTTGAACTCTTTACCTCCGTTATCACTTCCTCTCATTAGGCCCCCCCCCCCCCAAAGAAATCTCTGGTTTCTGGTATGCGCGCACATCGCCGTAGCCATGGGTGTCCGCAAAATGAAACATTTCTTTTTTCAATGTAAGATGATGTCTCAAAACCGCCAAACTCACTGGTTTGACTGGAATCCTGCTGCTGCACAATTTTAACGTGTTTTTAGATGGGGTTACGATCGAGTATAAGCTTTATGTGGCCTCTCTGGGCTCCCATATATTTTGCGCTAAATTTAGTCGGGCACCTTTTACAGACTGTGTTGTAATTTTGTAATTGTTCGTCTGGTAGCCAGACTGAGGGAGTGATGGTCGTGTATGTGGAACCTGTAAACGCTTTTTAATTAGCGCAATAAGCGGCAATATGTAAGGGAGCGGACTAATGACCAGCCTGGCAGAACATGCACGATGTTGATGGCGCTGTGTGGTCTGACGTTACCGTTTTTTTTCAGATTTTTGTGTTGACTATCCAAATTTTCTGAAGAATGTTTGTGTCAGTCGAGATCGTTAGTGGGTGCAGAATTCTCAAGCCTTATGGCCTTACTGAGGTCACCAGAAGGTCCCCTCTGAAAGATATTTTTGAGTTTTTTTAGGGGAACGAAGCGTCATCTGCAACCAATATTGAAGAAAAGAAAAAAGCAGGGGAAAAAAAAGCATCGTCGCACCACTTTGGGGGCAAGCTCCATACCTGAAACCGGAGACTTTTTTTTTTGGCTTATCCTCCGTTATCACTTTTTTCTTCAGATATCTCTCTCGTTATTTTTTATAACAAAACCACAAAGGAAAATTGACAACGTTTTTTGGTTCTCTTTTTACTGAACAGTGTACGCTTTGCCCAAGCTGTATGCAAAGCTTCACTACTGCGTGAGCTGTGCCATTCACTCCAAGGTGGTGCGTAACAGGTCCAAGGAGGCTCGGAAGGACAGGACACCCCCTCCCCGCTTCCGCCCAGGAATGGTAAGATTCTTGCTCGGGTTCTCTTTCTGATTGGCCGCTCTTGGCCTGCTGTCTTTGCCAGTTGTTCATGTTGTGGGTCTTGGCTGGGAGCTGAGTAGGGTTTCTACTCTGGTAAAACGTGAAAAAAGAAGATGCTTTTGACTATGTTAACAGCAAATCAATTCGTTTGTTCAAAATTTAAAACAGGCATCCTAAACAAGCTCAGGCCATAGAGCTATATTAAATTACTAGAGTGCTAACTTCTCATTCGTGTACGTGGAGACGCTTTGAAGTTCCTCTGGGCGCAGACATTTTGAACACGTGTGTGTTTGTAGAACACAATGAAATTATATGGATTGAATTTTAAAGTATACTCTAAATGCAACGCGCAAGTAGAACATACGCAACTTAAGCGCGTCATGACGGTTCAAAAAACGTCACAGCAAAAAAGCATCTGCAGCGGATACGCGCATGCATTGCACTGTTTGCGTAGAGCAAAATGACACACTCATTTGCTGATCGTGTGTTTCATTTTTAGGCGTATCGGCTTCGATAACGCACAGGTATGGAATACAAAGGCAGATATGCAAATAGACCTACAAAAGCCGTACACATTTTCTGGGTCTCCATAGGTTTGTGCACAAACATGGATGCGCCCAGCAGGCATCACTTTGTACATGAGTCAGTGCTCTAGTAATTTAATATAGCTCTATGGCTCAGGCACACTTTTGGTTATTACGGAGGTGGTCTTTGTGGTCTCTGGTTTGTCTTGTGAAAGTTTTTTGTGTAGATGCCTTGTCTAGTCCTTTTTTTGGGGTAATAAAAATAGCTCTGACTTGTTGATTTGTAATTTTATGAAAAACTAATACATTTAAAAAAAAATTTGAACGTTTTTTTTCTTTCTATTTCCCAGGCTTCTGGACAGCAGGCAAGACCAGGCGGTGCAGGTGGGCGTTAATTTTTCTCCGAATAGTCAAATTTGGAATCCATCACCCTGGCAACCCCATGGCAACACCACGTCAACAGGAACCATCCCTGGCGCAACGACACCGTTACTTTTTCCCAACACAAGATTTGACTGTTCAATGTAAAACTTTCAAATCAATTCTCAAAAATGTCTACACGACAGGCTCATCGCAAAGGCTTTGATGAATAAATTGCCATATGAAAAGTGGCTTAATGGCTCAGTTTAACTGACTGCTTCTAGTGTGTTTCTGTCTGGCTGTATTGAATATTATCTCGTTTGATTTGTACAGATTGTGTTCAAGGACATTTGTGATGCGATCACGCTAAATGAGTCGTTTGTCGACCATGGTCAAATTTTTTTTGACAGATTTGAAAAGAGCACAATCTCAGCATTACTACTGTGAAAACCGCATGCTGGTACCATCTTTAGTTCAAAAATTATGGAAAGTCGGAACACTAAGAAATGTGATGAAATGATGTGATGAAGTGGTCCCATTATGGCTTGAATCCCCAAATGAAAATTCCAGACAAACGACTCATTTAGCCTGACGCATCATATTTATTCAAGGATCAATGTTATTAGTTCCTCGGTCTACCTTTGGTTGTAGAATGTCACAAGCCTATTGTTTTTTAAATATTTAGATAACGTTTTCTATAAACCGTCTTATTTTTCCACTTTTCATTTGGTTTGCCGAGTCAAATTTTATATTCTATTTTTGTCTACCTCCAAAGACATTCCTCACAATTGTTATCTCTGTGTCCTTTCATCTTTGCATAGTGGATGTTCCTTAACCCTAACTCCCTAGGCCTTTTTGCTGGGATGTAGCCTCAATCCTGCAAAATCCTCCAATTGGCCTCATGGAAAAATAGCATATAGCCTCAATCTACAAGTTATTCCAATATTTCTTTAATACGGTCCATGGAGGGGCGACCACTGCCTGAATCCTGCAAAATCCTGCGGCAGTGACTCAATATGTTGAGGCTTGGCCAGTGACATCCTGGAGCAGTATGGAGGATTTCAAGCATAATCCAGGCCTGTATTTATGCATGGGTGAGCAAAAAACAACACGAGGTCCGGCCCTAGACCTTGACAAAGTGCATCCTACGAAATCAGTTACGCACTTTTGCCATGTTACCTCGATTCCTCCAAATTCGTCCACTTTGGCAAGGAGGATTTTGAAGGATTCAGGGCGGTTAGGGTTAACGGGCGGGTGCTGGGATCTCGGTGGTTCTACTGCACTAATTTGCGCTTATTAGAAACAACGCAAAACTCGGACGGAAAGAGCGCACTGCGAGTGTAAGTGTTCTTCCAGTAAAACGAAAACAATTCACATAGGGACGTGTGTGAATTGTTTTTGTTTTGACGAAAGAACGCTTTTTGTGTGTGATTCGTGGACAGAACTTTAAAACAGTGGTTGTATTTAAAAATCCGTAACTTGAAAAGTACAGGAGTGATTTAAATGATACTTATACTAAAAGAACGCTTATTAATTGAGCTTTTATATCCTATATTTTGAAAGCGCTACGTGCAGAACTTAAAAAAAAAAAAATTAGAAAATGGTCCTGCCATTTTGGGTTTCTCCTTTTTTTTCTTTTTCTTTTTTTCTTTTTTAACTTGCCCTTTATTGTAGACATCATCACATCAAAAGATGCAACATTAGGGCTCTTTCACTGCAGTCTTTCAGTTGGATATTGCTACCTCTCACGCATCGAGCATGCATGAGACTCGCGCATTTCGGGTCACGTCCACACGGGATTTCTCACGCTAAAAAAACAAACTAGGCCTTATAGTAAATAAATGAAAATAAAATAATCCAGAAACTTACAAGTTGTAGGCCTATGTCCTGTCCCTATCGTGCTTGGTTTCTGGTGACTAATGAACGTTTGCATTGGCTGTTATCGATATCGCATTGGCGGCAATAAAAATGGCGGCAAGTAAACATGTAGCCTACATTTGATTCTACATGTATAGCTCAGAATACCTCGAAACTCGATAATGATACATGAATGTGCCATATTTTCAATGGGGAGCGCTGATAAAATCCTACAATCAGGCACACTTTATTAACTAAAAGTGTACAAATGCACCCTTCTCACGACTATTTATTTAGGGGGAGACCGTTCGCATGTACGTCACATTCTTACATTTTGCTAGTGCAATTTTTTTTTATGGATTTTTTTTTTTTTTGGGGGGGGAGCTAGACAAATTTTGCGGGGGCCAAAGCTCCCCCCCCCGGTAGAACCGCCACTTGCCTCTCTTTAGGCAGCTCATGTAGGGAAATGTTTTTTTTAAACAAACATTTCCCAACACAGGCCTAGTTGTAATAATACGTCTTCAGAGGATTGTTATGAATCAAGAAAAATGAAAATTCTATTATTAGCGGTCTAGTGCGCTCGGGGAACTTTTAAGTTTGGTATCTCACGCAGAAGTTACAGCCCGCCCTCTTTTTTGGGTAAGTGGGGGGAGTTTCTTGGAAGTTGATGACTGATGCCCTGCCGTCTAATGATTACTCAACCATGACAATTGCGAGCGGGTACCAACTAGTCACCGCTGAATCATGCATCATCGACAGCTTGTCAAACAAACTTCATGAACTTTGCGTACACACGACACATGCCCATGCAGTATTAATTCCGGTATAGCAATCTACGTACGGAGAACCGATTTTTGTCACTGAAATCTGCAAGTTTTGAACAACTCTTTTCCACCTCTCTTTGGCAACACCGAGGCCGACAAAATGACGACGAAGTACTCTTTCATATTCTTGCTTCTGTGTGGATTAAGTTTGAGAGCAGTTGAAATGCAGGCAGATGGAGTTGGAGTAAATAACGAAAAAGGTAAGTGGCCCCGGAAGCGGAATCTTTTTCGTTACGCAAGTCTCCCATGCATAATTTTGGGAATTGGGATTGAGTGATTGGTTTCGTTTCGAATAATCGTCAACATTCTGGTAATCGTGTGGTTTAATAGGACCCCGTTCCATAAGACTAGAGAACGAAAAGACACTTTTATGTTTTGGGACTTATTACCTAAACATTTGGCTATGATACAAGCAGGAAAAGTTGCCTAATGTTTTTGGGAATCATCCAATACTTTTTCGCTAAGAAGCATGTTGAATATATTTAGTTTTTTGCAAAGAGGGCAGGGGTTATGATTTATGAACAGAGATACTGGTACACAGTATGTACCAACATTCTTATTTTCCCTATCTTCGATTGCGCTTGTTGAGTTTGGAAAGTTCTGAAGTTTCAGTTTATATTTGTTGTATTTTGTTTTTCTTTAATTTTTTTTTTTGATGTTGATGGTGAAAATTAAATTTTGAGAAATTTAAGACATTTCTTATTTATGATAGAATTTTGGTAAGCCTGCGTTTTTAAAAATTTTCAGTTGAGAATGTTGTATTTTAACTACCGGTATTTTGATATTTTAAATAAAATGTAGGTCTTCTTCACTTAAAAACTATATTCTTTGATTTCAAAATACCTTTATTTAGAAATTTCACATTTGTTTTAAATAACCTAAACAAACGTATTTGCCTACACATCGTTTTTTAATATCCTGTTTCTGCGTACACATATTATATACATACAAAAAAATGGTTTGATAGCCTGTCATTGCATTTTACAAGAGAAAAACACAAAGTCTGAGAAATATTTCAAATCTTGTAACTAAGTTCACTGTACCTCACGGATATTGATTCAACAGAAAATGGCATAAAAGTATATTCGGTTTTTTTTTTTAAATTTTTTTTTTTAATATTTAACATTATTTTTAGATATAATGTTGCAAAATCTTATTATGCTGGATTTTAATAAGTGAAAAGAGTTATCTTGCTTTTATTTTACCTCTGTGAGTAACATTCCTTCCCTGCAAAAGTTCTCAGGAAAGTTTGTTAATAATCAGACGTTTGATGAAATTAACAAAATTAATCCTTGCTGTTCAAGAACTGAGAAGAGAATTGTTTATTTCGAAAGTAGAAAAATTCCAGTTTACATTCTATTAGTCAATTAAGTACGATTGCTCTGACAGGAAACCGTATATGGATGTATGACAGACTTGTGGTTTTATAGCTTGTGGTCAGGGCAGGGTTTGTGTTAAAAGCAGCGGTGAAATAGTGCATGGCTGGTGGAACAGCCCCTTGAATAACAAGCTCCATTCATCAGTCCACACCAGTAGTAAATGCTGGAGTGACATAGGGTCAGTGGTTAAATACAGCATTGTAAAAACTACGCATATTCGGTCAATGGGTAATGAGATAACAACAGAAGGCTTTGGTAAACCCCCCTTGTCCACTGAAAAGTTTGGATTTCTGGGACATGTTATTGGAAGGCACAGTTGTGCTTAAGAGGTGTGCTCTTTGCCATTTAAGTGTTGCAGCTAAGATATTTGAAGCAGGCGTGCAACTTTTCTTCGGATCTGTTGACTTCCTTGTTTTTTACTTCATGCCATTACAAATTGAAAAACACTGTACAAAGTATTGTGTGGTTTGGAATGTCCTCATATTTTTCTAAATTCTCAGTTGCATGTCTGTTGAAGAAAGCATTTAATTAAATGTCTGAGTTGTACAGTAGAAAGCTGTGCTCCAACGGAATTAAAAACCTGCAGTCCCCTCCGTGTACTTTTTATTACAATTAAATTCATACAGTCATTTAAAATGTTGGTACATCATAACTAATTCTACCTATTTACCAATTTGAAATAACCATCTACCGGTAGATCGAACTAAACATAAACATTTTTTTCCCCAAATCAAGGAGTTCATTGACTTTAGATCAAATTACGTCTAGACCTCGGAATAATTTTTTGTTCCGACTGAAAATTGATACCAGTGTTCTATCTTTTTTTGGATTGTTACTAATGTTAGATCCTTGTTATGTTATGATGCAAACAAATTTCAGTGGAGGTGTTGTCTGGCATATGTGGAAGTAAAACCTCCGTATTGGTCAGACTTCCTTGGTAACAGTACCGGTAGAATCAAGTTGGTTTCCTGATGCGATACCAGAATATAAAAAAGCTGTTGGTGTGCTGGTTTTGTACTTGTAGGAGGCATCCGCAGAGTTTAATCTGTTGACACCCCAGCGTTTCCTTCCTCCATAGGATGTCTGTGGTTTAAATTTGTACAAAATTTGCGGTTTCAGACTTGTGTAAATTGTGCTTGTATGACGTCTTTTCAAGGAAAGTGGAATATTGTTTCCAACACTACCCTCATTTTACCGAATTTAGTTAATT